ATTATAATTAGCAGGTGATTTTCATAAACGTATCTAATAATATATAATTTCTTAGCCAACTCGAAGTCTGTCCAAACTGGGCAGTCTAACATGTATCATTCAATAAAATAACCAACCGAATTTAAAGGGATATTCAACTTTTATACGGCTTAAGTACGAGTTTAAATAGGTGATCTTAATGGAAAGTACCGTCTCAAAGCATGGTTCTTAAAAGATAGACACGTTCAACTCAGAATGATGATCTGTCTATGCTTGTAGCAGTGAAAAATAGAACCAATAATTATTACTCTTTCGCTCATAAGTAGGGTTTTAAGGCTACAAATAAATAAGATGTATAAGATAAATTTACCCTATTTCGTTTAAGGTGATGAAGGACTGGTAGTTGAATTTTCCCACAATGGTACGGGTAGAGCTTACAGTTCCATTGAATCTCCCATAACCTTGCTTCTCAAAAGGTATTCTCATCCAGGATAAACGGCAGTTTCAACCTCGCCTAGGTTTTATCAACACTCAAAGCGGGACTCGAACCATGAAAGTGCAACGTATAATCTCGATAGACTAACCATTATGCCACATTGCCAGGAATGCCCTTGGGTCATGAGGTAGATATGAATTTCAAGGAATGTCAGGCAGTTTCTCACATCACATTCTTGATGGGATCTCATATATATGATTTACATCTCATATAACTAATTATTAATATTTCTGTATTAATAATAAAAAAATAATAGCAAATAAGGCAAAATATAATTTCGAATGTGATTACAATAATGATAACATACTGTTTTGAGTAGTATTTAACGATATGATGTTAAAATCCATAAAGGGAATCATCAATATAGTATATTATGCTAATCAGAGCACTGAACAAATTAGGGAGCAGCCTCAACTATGCGAAGTCTTATGTAAACGGATAAAAGGAGGGAATAATTGACAAAGCATGGCCTACTGAGCAATATAATATGTGTGTGCAGAAAATTTGAGCCTTTTAAAGATTTACATTCCTCTGCACCTACATCATCAGCAGCACTTTTCCCACGGTTTGCCTTGTTAAATTTAATAGCATGCCTATCAGTTGCTTTAAAATCTTCGTGATCCAGCTTTTTAACTAACTGCCCTGACAGATTTTTCCCTGGATTCGTTGGCGTAGTGTACATTCGTAGTTTAGCTCAATGGAATATCAAAGTTGAGATTGTAAGTTTGGGTGCCCAATTTCTCTCCGCAAGCTAACAACAATAAGTATCAACTGGTTAACACAGTGAGGAACTTTTATAGTTGAATGACAAATATTTTCGTGACATCTTACAAGGATCCAAATTTTTTAAAACGTTAAAAATCACGTTAAGTTGAGCCCTTACACTTTCTAAATCGGTGTCGGGCAGGGATGGAGATCTGGCAACACTTTAGTCACCTGAGTCTTGGGTCCAAGCGTCTTCTTTTAATGTCTTCGTTGAATCTCGAGGTCTGCTCAGGCAGTACGCAAAATAATCGCAGATTCTTCCCTCTTCGAATCCCCTGTTCACCAGGTTTCTTTGAGAGAGGATGTCCACAGCTTCTCTGCTCTTCCATTCCTGATGTTTTCCCCATAAGATTCCAGTTTTTACGTTGCCTTCAAGTCAATTGTGTGACCGGTAATGGCGAAGCGCTCAGCTATCTCCGATCTTTCCGTATCCATTTATCTGCATAGTAGCTAGTGTCCTTTGATCCTTGTACAGATAGTCCTTTACGTTTCTCCAATGTACTTTTCTTTACAGTCCTTGCAGTTTATACTGTTAACTCCAGAGCACTCCATTTTGTTGAATTCTTCATGTCGTGTGGGTATGCTGGTGAAGAGGGTTGTCCTTATCTTCAGGATTGTATGAATGTTTCATTTCCCTAGTATTAGCCGTGGCATCCGAGCTAATTTACAGCAGGGTAAACAAATCCATCGTTTTTTCTTTGTTTCACTTGCTTACCTTTCATAGTCTCCGTCCTTCCATCTATTCACCACTATATGTATGTTGCGCTGCATTGATTCTTCTGGATATCCGTTTCCAAAAGATATCTAAATTAGTTTTATCAGAACCCATAATCAATGAGTCCTAAGCTTCTTATGGTCATACTCCGCATTATTCCAATCTTCATCCCATAAGTATGGTTCGACTGGAAGTTAAGACTTATTCCAGTATGCGATTTCTTTCAGAAAAGTTTTTTCTTGAGAGTTTTCTCGGAGCGAATGACTTCTACATCCAAGAACGGTAAGTGTCCTTTCTCTTTCACATCCATGGTAAATTTAACTTCTTCATCCATTTCGTTTATGAAGATCAGGAAAACGTCTAATTTTGCTCTTCCATGAACAAATATTATTTCTTATGATAAAAGTTGAGTAAAGAGAGTCTTTTTCAAATACTAATCATAATCTGAAGTAAATACATCACTTCAGGAAGAAAGTCAAGCTTAACACGACGCTGGGTAAAGAAAAAGTATAAAACCCAGGCTAGTATGAATCACATTTAAATATGATGAACAATTAGATATCCTATACAAATAATTAGTGGATTTTTATACTAATTGATAATGTAAAGTGCAAAGGATATTTTAATCCCTCTTAAACTGCATTCGATCGTCAAGATATTCCTGGCCGGTACTTAGCTAGTGACTGCGTTTAACAGCATGGTTTGAACCTAAACATAAATGAATGCCAACAACAATCGGCTTTTCGTAACTTCTACAAATAAAGTGGTACATCTTGTAATGCCTATCTCAGGAATAGCGAAATTAAGGTACCAGAGGGTGATGATAGGTTTAGTGAAAAACATCTAAGACAATGAAAATTTTATCCCTGAAGTGTGAACCAGCGACAAATGTGTAAGTGATTTATATGGGAAAAACGAGAGCCACATAAGGCGAACTTTGGGGTTAGGGTTACTTAAGACCAAATGAAATAACGTATATACAAACATTTTAGCTCTCTCGATGCTTGCAGCCAATAAATTGAGTGGCAGAAGACGTATATACAGCAAGTTATGCATATTATTCACTGGATAAATATTTACCTAAGGGCAAACTTAATTATCAATCCCGCGAAATAAGCTACTAAAGGGCAAACCAAATTCAGCACTAAATATATGACCAATAAAATAAAAGTTTGAAGTATTCTTACGTGGAATCTTCCAGAGCAAGTAATTCTGGAGGTAAAGAATTCAGGCTCCAATGCGACACTCTGAAGCGATCAACTAGGAAGTTAAGAAGCTCTTCCTTCCGATCCGGTGTACCATTAAATGAGGGTGCTTGGCTATTATGCAATGCCTGTGCAGACCAGCAATTAGGACAGAGTTCAGGTGGAGGATAGATGACTTTTGGTGCAGCCGGATCTGCTGAGGGCAGCTTTGCAATGCGCATGTTAACAAGATTATGTACCTCGTTGAGCCAGAGCACCTCATGTTCCGCAGTTCTTGGCCGAATAGGTAAGTTGGCTAGTAGCTGAGTGGGATCCTTTGGCCAATCAAGGCCAGGAGGGTGGTTGGTTGTACGTCGCCTCGGCAAAAGAGACTCGTTTGGTCGGGCCAAGTTGGCCGTAGCGGAAGCAAAGTGATAGGCACAATGTGTACAAGAGAAGAATCGCGGCAAGAAACGGTTTAGAGCATGCGCTGTTGCATCAGGCGGACTGGAATCTATTTAGTTTATCCCACAAACACAGAGAATTAGAGTAAAACAGATTAAAAACGATCCACAATGCACTTCAATATTAATTGTATACAAATTTAAGATGTTATGAAGAAGTCGTTTGAACTAGTTTTCGCAACTTGCTCACAGTGGTAGGAAGGCCTAGGGGAACGCATCTTGTACGAAATCCATGATATGATTGACTATTTCCATATTCGAACTTGGTACATTCCCAGATGTTTCGCAGGCATCTTCAGTGAGCCCAACCACTCAGCACCACACTGTAACTCGTTAAAGAGACGAATGAAGTCGGTGCTTTAACTAATTGTCCATTAAGGCTTTGATCTCTCCTGTCTTGCTGTATTCAATTGTCCCATATCCTCGTAACAATCCTTCACTAACACAATTTCTTACCTGTTTATCTAATCGTAGTTGATGTGCGAAATTTTGACCGGATTTAGTGAGACCTCTTCACACTCACCGTTGGTTCCACATCCTTCCCTGGGCTGTGAGTGATGATCCAAGACTGCAGTTTAGTTCGCAATGTTCTTTCTCCAGGTCCAATCGAAGTCTGCCTCATGCTTCGTCTCTTATCTGAATGGCTCAGTGATTTTACTCGATCGCTGCCGCAATGTCTGTGCTACTGAGAATGTTAAGGTCTACACTCTGTCTCAAGCTTTTGACGGCATGTATACGCCAGACTCACTGAACAAGCCCCAAAGTCTGAATTCTAAAGTTGCATGGAAGCCTAACTTGATGCTGCAGATGCCCTTATCACTGCTCGGTGTGTGCACTGAATAAATCCCGTGGTCAAGTCTTTACTTCATCTGCCACGTCTATAATCCAACTAATCTAGTAATATTCTTTAGTTTGTAAGTAACGTAGTCGATTGCTATAGCAAATACAACTTTGCTTCATCGACAATCCTGAAATAGAATATGGTAAGGGAAAACGTTTGGTCTTCCTTGAAATCCACATATACCCTGTGATAGAGGGCACTCGTAGCAATGTGATTAACGTGTCGTTCTTAAACGCTGCAGTGTCTTGGTTCAAGCCTCGCCTTGGGTGTTGATAAGACCTAGGAAGGCCTTATCAGGTACTTGCGTATATTTTTCGTATATGTGCCTGGAGGGGAGATGAGTAGTGACATGCTTGACCACTGGGGGTACCAGCCAACTTGGGAGACGAGTGTGTTTTTCGCGATTCAAGGGGAAAAAGGGTAGCGAAGCATTTTCACACCAGCGAATATGACTTA